GCTATTTTTCAAAGGTGCATGAGTCTATTTTCTGTGACTTGATTAAGAAAAGGCATGATGTATATTTTCTGTAACAGGTAGAATTTTTAAAAACCAAATTTTTTTGTAGCTATCCTTTTTGTTAATTTTCATAATGCTAGCCCAATTTTGTCCTTCCTTTCTCTACCTATGTTTATATGGAGGTTGTTTAAGAAAAGAGGTCTAAAAAGCGACGTGAATAACAAGGCGTGAATAACATCCATTTAAAATTTTTTAAATTCGATATGACATAAAAATGTAAGGAATAACCTAATAGCTTCTAATCTTATTATTGGAATAAAATATTTATTAAAATATATTATTTTCATCTCATTGTGCCCTTGAGTTATACACGTAATTTTGTTTATATTAATGAAACCCATGTTATTGAGTTTATTCATACAAACCAACTTCATTTTAGTTATATTATAACCTTTAGGCCTTAAGTCAAATTTTGAAACATATTTTTTCTTAAATTAATTCAATTTATCATGCATGACTACAACTCAAAAATCATCATTAAGAGCTTTTCCAATACTTTTGAGTCCTATTTTAAAATGAAATATATATTGATTACTTTCATCTATTATTTTATTTTTAATATTAATTGTTTGAGTTGGATATCATATAATTAAATACTTTGGATGATTCTTTTCATACTTCCATTCATTAATTAGGAAGTATTATTTTTTAATTTTCTCATTTTTTGTACCATTTAATATAATTTTTTGAACCCCATCAACTTCATCATCATCAACAACATGATTTAGAATACATTTGGATTTAATTTCAGCAAAAGCAACTTGTAATGATTCTTCCAGAATCATATAGTTTGCTTATAAAATAATTTGACATTCTTGCTAGGTGATGAATAATCAGGAAAACGTATCATTAACAAGTTTTTTATCATAATTTCCTTATTAATTTTTTTCATTATTTAATACATGATATGGACAACCAAATATTTGATAGTATACAATTTTAAGTTTCTTACCTATAAATAACTCATATGGAGTTTTCTTCAAGTATATGCCTTAAATTTATCCTATTAATAATATAGCACATGATATTGATTGTTTCAACCCATAAATATTTTGATAAATTATATTTATTTAACATAAATTTTGTCATCTCAACTAAGATCTATTCCTTCTTTTACCCACTCTTTTTATTGTGGAGTTCTTGGTGCTAAAAATTATGTCTTATCAATTGTTTATCATAAAATTTCTCAAATTTATTATTTTCATGTTCACCATCACAATTAATTTGATTGCAAGTTTAATTACTTTACCACGATTTATTTGAACATATATAATAAATCTTAAAAACTTTTCGAAAGCATTTTCATTATTTTATAGGAAAACTGTCCATTTAGATCTAGAAAAATCAATAACAATTAAAAAATCATAATTATTTTTACTTAGAATATCGGTGCTAACCAAACTAAATATGTCTATAGAAAGCAATTCAAATAGTCTATATTTAAGGAAACAATTTTATTTTAAAAAAAGATTTAATTTATTTTTCATGATGGCATGCACCACATAAATAATCTAAAGTAAAAGTTAGATTTAGGTAAACCAATTGAATCATCAAATTTTAAAATTATATCAATGTGTGTATAGTGCATGACATAGTCTCTAGTGTCATAATAAAACATTATAATTGTTAGTTTTAAAATATATAAGAAATAAATTATCCAAATTATAATCTTCCAACATATAAAAATTATTACATCTAATTTTATTAAGCATAGTTGATCCATTTAATGTAATCAAATTATGTAATGAGTAAAAAAAAGTAAATTCAAATCTTTCAATACTCAATTGATTTATACTCAAAAGGGTGTTCCTTAAACCATCAATCAATAAGATTTTTTTTTTATAGTAGATGAAGTTTTACCTATGGAGCCAGTTCATATGATTTTTGCCTAGTGGTGATGTTGTGCATGATGAATATGAGCATGTGTATGATATTATTCATTTAATTTACTAAAAGCCATATTCATGCAATGACAATTTTTTAATTTTTGCTTAAGCACATTATTTTTAAACTCTAATTTTGAATAAATACATAATGATCATTTAAATAATGTATAGAGATAAAATTATTTTTTTAATGATTCGTATTCAATTTTTAATTTGCTATATTAAGCATTTACATATATATGATATTTTTCTAGCATAAAATGCTTCTTTATTAATGTAATTCTTTAAATTAATGTTTCATCTAACTTTTCATAAGATAAATTGTTATCACTTATATAATCTTGGATATATTTCACGTTATTTCATGATTACCTTAAAACAAAAAATTTCTTCTTCTTTCTTTGACTCCCTAGAAGTAGTATCACAATTTGAATTTACCCAAATCATACTCATTACTTTCTTCTTTATCTCTTTCATCACTTATTTTTTCTCTAGTAAGGTTGGACAATCTCATTTAATATGTCTGCACATCTTACAATTGTAACATATCACACTTCCTTTATCTTTTGCACCATCATTAAAATGTTTAGTTTTATCTTAAAAAAAATTATTTCAATGGCTTATAATCTTAGGCTTTGCTTTTTATTCTTAGTTAAATAGTTGAACTTTTTTAGCATAATCATTTCGTCTGCAATCTCTTCTTCCATCTCTAATTCATTATTTCAAGAAGCTATCTCATCAACTATTATAACATCAAAGCAATGCTTCTTATATATATATATATATATGAAGCACGGGGTATATTGATGAGGACACAAATTCTAGAGTTAAAGTGATATTATTCTCTATTCTTGTGCAATTAAAGAGCCAATAATCTAATCAAGTGAATATGTGCTGCAATTTCTAGCTTCAACAATACCAGTTATAATAACATCTCAATCTTTAAGTAAACATCCTAAAATTTTGTACACATATTTTGTTCTTTATAAATTTTTTCTATAGTGTGTAATGTAATTTTCACAAAATGTGCATACAACTTAGAAATATTTTCTTTAAATTTCATGCAAAAAGTTCATATTCATATACTAATTTATTAATATGTGCATATTTAAATTTTTTTTCTTTATAACTAGTAATAAATTTATCTTATATTTTTTGTAGTATAAGTGTAGTAACTTTAGTATAATCATCGGGCTTTAGTTTACAAAATAAAATATTCATCGTATTTGCATTAAACCAATCAAGTTCTTACTCACATGAGTCCGATCATCAATTGTCTACACAACTTTAATGCCATTTATCCTAATAATTGACCCATGATATAGTTGTTAAAGCATATACACCTTCTAACATTTTGACCACATAAGAAAATATTCATTTCTTTTTTCTAAGTCAAAAGATATATTATTGAATAATGGTTGCTTGTTTGTGGAGTAGACCTTGAGTAAATAAGTTTTAGGAAAATAGCGTTATATAAGTGATTTGCTCTTAAGTGGCTAAATAAATAAAAAAAAAGAGTTCTTGTTCTGATACCAATTGATAGTTATGACACAAAAATAAAGTTGAATTGGAGTGCTAAAATTTTATTCTTATTATTATAATTTTAATTATTAAAAAATTATTTCCTTAAATACATTATGACATGATAAAAATTATAAAATAAAGATGCATAAAATATAAGAGGATAAGCAAATTTTTATATGGTTTAGCTCTCTGCTTACATTCGTGCCAGACCATGACAACTTAAAAAAGAAAAACTATAATGTAATACTTTTCATAATTAACTTTCAAAATAAATTCAAAATTAAATCTAAATTATCTATTTCTTATAAAAGGCTCTTTTATTTATAAATGTAAAAATTTGGGTGGATAATAACAATAATAACAACAACATTTAAATGGCTTTGCAAAGCAAACACAAAAACAACAAATAACTTGATATATGTTAAACATGGCCTTCGAAAAAAAAAGAAAAGAAAATAAGTCATATTAATATAAAATTTGGACAATTTAAATTCACAAAGCCTTTGGAATCAACAAAGGAAAGTTACTATATTAGTTTAGTATCATCTGCTTCTAATAGATGCAATTAGTGCTTATGACACTTTGAAATATCCATGCCCAAAATTATAATTGAACAATATATAATTTACTAATGAATGCGTAAAATCATGTGCATCATTAATATTAGCTATTTATAGATAGATTTGATAAGTTTTCTTGGATGAACAATAATTTCAGCCAAAGTCAATAAAATATTTTGTTTTGTGCTCAAATCAATTTTATACTCATATGAAAATGAGATTTGCATACATACCATTGACATGATATTCACCCATCTAACAACTAAACTCTGCTATTTATGCTACTACCACTAAAACCTTATCTACAAACCATGGATGATGTTGTTATACTGCCAACTTTTCATAAAGAAGCTGCTGAGGTGGTTGCGAGCGAGACATAGGGTTTGATTGGGACAACTCTCTACCTCCCTTGCTTTTCAAACAGCTACCACAGAGTTCAATTTTGAGAACTACTTGTTGTTTTTTAAAAATTTATGTAGTAAGAAACTATTTTTTTTAACAACTAAACTGTTAAAGTGTGGTGACTTCCAGAAAGCTACAGTCTAAATTTTTAAATATAAATAAACTTGTAATAACCAACACAGCTTTTTGAACCACAATTTTTTCTTACAACAGCTTCACAGTTGCTTCCTCAAACAGCTGTATCCACCCCTAACATACCCTCAACCATAGAAGAGTGTTGGAATTACAAATCTTCGACGGAGTTTGATTAGTTAAATGGTTTATGAGCAACATGAGACCCTTGCACACATACATTCTATCTAGAAATCTAAAGGGTTAGCCCAATCGAGATTAAATTAGGCTAAAGAGCGATCCGTTGCGTAAAAAATCGCACAAGAGAAGACAACCAAACACAAAGCGATTGCTAATTTTAATCATTTGCTCAATAACATATAGAATTCCTCAACTCAATGTCATATTGAACCCCAAAAAAATAAGACAATGAATGCAAATAAATTGGCTAAACCTCTTTTTTTCATCCCCCACTTAAACCATTTATACTTGTAAACAATGCTTTGATAAATTATAGTTTTAATTAAAAAAAAAACATAAATTATGTTGTGAGCACATAAATATATTAAAATGTAGATTCTCAAATAGCGGGCCAAAACTATATAAATACGACGTCATGGCCATTTTTATAGATGTCACATACAATTCCATTCTTCCCCTGACTGGGCAAATAGATGACAGGATAAATCTGAAATGGAATGTAAAATGTGAGAATTCCAAGGGATTGATTCTGAGCGGTGATCATCCGGAATTGTGCGAAGCGAGGTCATTTGGTGGCGGCTTCTGGTTCAGAGGCCATGACGCGCCAGCCATCACGGCTTCAATTTCCCACGTTTGACGTGGCACATTTGTAAGATTCTTGCTGCCGTTTGATGTAACAACCTACGACATCAAAGAAACCCAATTAAATTATCCTATTGTAAGATATAATATATATTGCAAAGAGGGACGACAAACTCTTGCATATATGCCAAGATTTCTTGAAACCCGAAGATACTTGCATTGGTTTATTGAAACACTAATATCACTAATAGAATTTAGGGGCATTTACATACATACCACGCAATTCTTATGTACTTACTGAACTTAAACACCTGAACTTTAATAATTACATTCATAACACTCACATCTTTAACATCACATCAACAATACCAACGTAATAACTTCTTAAAAGTTAAAAGCACCTTTTTAAGCAAAAGTTTATAGCAGCCAAGTATTATACATGTAAATATCAAACTTGAGGTGTTAGATATGTAAATCCATAAGAATTGTGCGGTGAGTATGTAAATATACCTAGAATTTATCATGAACCATACTTTCAGGAATAGACCTGGGAATAAGTTGCAGGAGAAAATGTTGTTTGTTCTAGAACATTAAGCTACATGAATATTTTGAGGGGCGTTTACATGCATGTAGCCGACCCCACCTAGTGGGATTAAGGATTTGTTGTTGTTGGCGTTTACATACATACCACCCAATTCCTATGAATTTTCATATCAAACATCTTCACTTTACTTTTTACATTTATATCACCCAAATCTGTCATCACATAAAAAATACCAATATTTTAACTTTCAAAAAATGAAAATGCACCCCTCATGCATTGGGAGTGTGGCATGTATGTAAATAAGTTTAGGTGTTAGAAATGTAAATGTATAAGAATTTTAAGCGGTATGTAGGTAAATCTTCATATTTTAAATACTGTGCACTTACTAACAATTTCTCTAATGCATAATACATAAAGCATGTCTTACAAAATTATCTGAGCCAGCACTGCATAGAGTCATAAGAAGATAGTAACCAAAGGAACAACTGCATTATAGACCTATTACCTCAAAGAAAGACATTTTAGGAGCTTACCACATCACTCTCAATTCGAATGCCACCAAAGTTCTTGAATCTATCGAGTTCTTCCTTTTTAAGGAATTTCGACTTCATTGGATCTTCCAAGGCAGGATTTAGAAGAGCATCAATGAAATAGCACCCTGGCTCCACAGTTATCACCTGAGATACATGCAGCAGCTCAAAGTTGTCGGGAATCATTAAGTTAATATGCCCTTATCGTTCAAATATAAAGAAAATATGAGCACAGAATCTATAAATAACTGGAACATGCTAAGCTGAGCATCTCATTTGGAGAGCGGCAAAAGAAATAGAACAAAAAAAAAACCAAAAGTCCACCGCTTGATAGAGAGAAGAAAGGATGTGAGAAGAAAATATAGTTTTAATTTAATCATAAACTTATCCAAATTACAAGTAAGAAATCTCTATTATGCAACTAGGGGTGTAAATGAGTCGAGCTGAGCTTCAACTACCATAGGCTTGAGCTCGATTAGTTTGAGCACGAACTTGAGCTTGATTTACGAGTTCGAGCAGGCTCATGAACTGAATTGTTTTTTATGAGAGAAAAATAATAAAAATAATTCAAGTTGGTGTTAAAATAAAATAAGCAATTAGAAGATAAATAATAAGAAATCATTTGATATAAAATGTAAAATATCATTTTTAATCATTTTTAACAACTTAAAGATAAGAACTTGAAGTTTTTATATTTTGAGTACATTTTACATTAATTTTTTTAAAACAAACCAGCCGACAAGCTAAAGAGTCGAGTAGGGGCTAGCTTGAGTTTAGCTTATTAGCTTATCAAGCTCAACTCACCAGACACTTATCGAGCCGAGCCCGAGCTAGCACACATGTCGGCTTACCTAAATTATACTCCAATATACAACATAGCAATAGCGATAAGATCAAGTACTTTACACCCGAATCTTGAATAATTTAAAATTCAAACATAAGATTATGCTAAAGGATAACAAACAACAATTTCAAATAAAATAAATTCAGAGAAATAAATTTAAATAAAATAATAAAAAATAAAATCCTAAAATAGCCTAAACTTAAATTCTTAAGCTGCATTAATTCCCTTTTACCCTATAATACTCTATCCCTCCAGAGTTTCGTGGAAGCCTTTCACTTGAAAGTCTGGTGGACATCGTGGATGAACTATTTCATGACCTTTATATATTTAGTATACCCACATGACATAGGAAGTAGAATCTAGATGCTTCAAAAGTTGATGCTTTCTATGGCTTAATTGGATCAGTAGCTTAGGAAATCTAACTCTCATGGCAATGAAAACAAAGCTAGCAAAAAAACATCACTACGTATTGCAACTTGATCGAGGAGTACAAAAGACAAAATCAATCAGTGAAGGATCTGAAAACAACACAAAATGTTGGGGGAGAAATAATAGTGAACAAAAGCTCCTAGGAAATAATAACAACCTTGGGCAAAATCTCTTACTGAAGCTCACCTTCAAGCACGAAATTCAAATTTATAAGATGTGAAGGGTTATTGGGTTGTTGGAGCATTAAAAACTAGAGTAACTGGACGGAGACATGAAAACAATCCTTCAATTTTTGTTTGGCATAAATATAATTTCTTTTTGAACTCTTCATAACTTTCAGCAAAAAGCTCTAGTGAGCTGAAATAAGTTGTAGATGAGAGCTGGGATGATTAAAACAAATAAATAAATACGCAACTACATCATCTCAAGTCATCGGGCAGCATTTTGCATAATCATCCTTAGCAAAACAAAATCATGTTCAAAGCCCACTTGGTTACTTATAAGCTTAATATAATACGCTAATAAAATAACAAATAACGATTCTGTAGTGAATATAAAAAATTTTGAACTTCAAATATAAGCGTTTGTGTCTATTATGTATCTGCCATATATATAAGCTATGCATCTTAAACAATTAACTTTCCTTGCTTATATTAATTTGATGATACCGAGCGAGTATTCTAAAGTTCAAAATTAGGTTTAAAAAAATTGATGATACAAATTTTATTGATGCCAATGCGAAGATGCTATTAATTTATAGGTTGTTGGTCGTAACTCAACTCAATCAAAATTAAGGTATGAAGTGGGAGTCACAATTTAAGAATTTAAGGGCATTGACCTATGCATATGGATCAAGATGAAACAAAGCCAAGATTGATTGAGATCAATGTCAATAACAATTTTTGAACACAGCATAACATGAATTGAGTTTGAATCGACTTAAGTGGCATTGAAGTTGCCCAAATGTATTTCATTTGAAAAGTAAGCTGCACAACGCATCTACAGCATTAAAAATTCACAAGTCAAACTATGTGATGAAAATGAAGGTGATTGAATGCAACATCATATGAATTGGACCCGAATCAATTTGATCTACGTCAAAATTGCTCAAATATCCTTTATTCTGCATGATGCATTTAAAGCATCGAAATTATTTGAAATTGACACCCATATTATTCAAATCCTTACCTCAATGAATGTGAAATTCAATTTTATCTCGGCAGAAGACATTTCCAGACACATGGCGATGAATTTTACAAAAAAAATATACATAATCAATTAATTAGTAGGACTAAAACTAGTTAGTTTATTAATTAATTAAATTTAAATTAAAACTAAGTTAAATTGAATTAAATTATTAGGTAATAAATTATTATTACATAGTTAACCATATGTAAATTAAAATTAAAATTGTTGTTTAGTTAAATTAAAAGAAAATAATATCTTTATATAAATTAATATTAGTACATATTTTGAATAAAATTTCAAAATAAAATGCCTAAGAACTACACTCACACTCTCATTATCAGTTCACGCTCATATGCCTGCTTCCCACCCTCTCCATTTTCATGTGTTTTCAATTGAATAAAAAAAAAAAAGGAAAGAGCTGTTTTCCTTCACATGGTATAAAAGCCATGCAAGGCTTGTAGCTGATAGTTTGCACCTCGATTTAGATTTGTTCCCAGCAAACAAGTGTGGCTTCATATGCGTCGTTCAAATAATTTGTATGTACATCGAAGGACGACTCAACAAATAGTGGTCATTCATCTCAGCATCTTCCCGCATCCAACTCCACTGTTTGTCACCTTCCTAGATGTGGTTCAACTTCATCCCGCGACATCGGTGATATGAATATTTGGTGTAATCATAGTTGGCGAACAAAAACATATTGTGACATGGTTTCATTAGTGATTAAAATTACTAATGAAAAGTTAAATGGTATAATTTATTTTTATTGGGTCAAAACTGTGAGACTCTACTTGAGGAGTGTTTCTCAAGAATATCACCTCATTGATAACCTCCTAGCTGAGACTGATCTGAATTATTTTGAGTGGATAAAAATTGAAGTCTAGCTCTTGATACAAATGCAAAATTCTATTGAACCTGATTAATCTAGTCACATTACTCATTGTGACTATGTTAAATATGCAATAGAGGAATTATCATTTGTGTTTTCTGCGAGAATATTTCTCGAATCTTTGATGTATGTAACTAGTTCTATCGAGCTTAACGACGAGATCAATCATTTAACACTTATCACATGAACTTTAAGTGTTTGAATTTAATGCAATATCACCCTTCAATACTGATGTCCAAATTCAGAAGGCTCGTAGAGAACAAATGATTATTATGAGTTTTTTAACTAACCTCAACTCTGAGTAAGTAGGTGTCAAATCACAGATCCTATCCGACCTTGAAGTCACTACTCTAAGGAAAGTCTATACTAGAGTGTTGCTTACTATTGAGTTCTCAGGCTTCATCCATATAACAAATTATTGTTCTTGTTGGCAAGAAAAATACAAACATCACCAAACCAGTCTCAGAGCATTTATAGGAGTGGAACTCCAAGTTTTGAAAATCAAGACTCAAGGGTAGTTTGCTACTACTACCATGAAAGAACATGTCAGAAATTGCTAAAAAAAAACAAAATGGTTCTAGATCACAATCAACTCACATGGATCTCTCAAACTCACTCTCAATTTTGCATATGAATATGCTAAATTCATCCAATTTCAAGAAACATATAAGAAATCTCCCTCTATCACCACACTTGTTGAGTCAGGTAATAATGATATCTGTCTGTTTTTCTCTTCCATACAATGTATCATTAATTCTAGTGCTATATATCGCATGATAGTTAATCCAAAACTCAATTTTGCATATGAATATGCTAAATTCATCCAATTTCAAGAAACATATAAGAAATCTCCCTCTATCACCACACTTGTTGAGTCAGGTAATAATGATATCTGTCTGTTTTTCTCTTCCATACAATGTATCATTAATTCTAGTGCTATATATCGCATGATAGTTGATCCAAAACTCTTTCTCACCTTATATAAACATCTTTCTTATATCACCTTAGCAAACAAATCTACCTCTAATGTTCTTGGCCCTGGCACCATTCTACATTGGTTGGTGAGCAGTTTTTTTATTGCAATTGAATTAGCAATTTTAAGAACAAAACAAAAAGCAGCTTGCTTGTTGCAGTTCACGGGATGTGCAAAATCACTCTTTGATGCAGTAATGTTGAGAGACAGTGATAGCATTCATGGATAAGTTGCATAACTGGTGAATCCATGACAATCGGATGACAAGAAGAGTCCAAAATTACCATCAAAATGTAGAGGTTCTGAGAAGAATAGTGAACGAACCAAGTAGTCAATTAGGGAAATAGTGGATTCAAGTTTGAAGACCTTAGATTGGATTGATAATGTTAAATTTCTGTTTTATGTTTTACAAGAATGAAATAATTGGCAAATCCAAGGGGATGTAAGTCTGAGAGCATATATGTGCTCAATATTGTTGAGTATCATTTCATGATAATAGCATATGAAGCATATTCTAGGAGCTTCAGACACATTGCGAATACTAAATTGTCATCCTCGATAGACATTTAATTCAAGGAATCATAAATAGAAGGCTTAAGTTGACAATAGTGAAAAAATACTAACCATTCCCTCCCTCAGTTCCCTGATTGTTCTTAAAGAACTCAGTCCGGGCTCTTTGGGCCTTTCCATTCCCTATTAGAAGCATCAGCATGCTTGCCAAAAGTTAAAGCAAAAGTGAAAGGGTAACATGGTAATAAATAACTGTTGAATGAAATTAAGGAATACAAAAATATACAAGAACAAATATCAAGGACCTTAGTATAGCCACCAGGATCATGAGTGTCGATTCCAAGCAAGTGTCCAAGACCATGAGGCATAAAAACAGCACCTAACCGCTCTGCCATCATTTCACCAATATCACTAGAAAAAAAGCCAAAAACATGAGTTCTATTTGCTTAAATATTTTTTATTATATCAATTAAATGTTTCAAAATAAATACCCAACAATGATTCCTACTGCCTGAAGTGACTCAAGGATGATCTTTTCTGCAAGCCTGAAATAGATAAAAGGCAACATTAATAAAAGGAATTTTACTTATTTACATAACATGAACGATATTATTGTCATACACAAAGTACATGAAGATAGCTTGAAATCCAGAATACCATTAAATAATGCATATATTTGCAATAATATATCCAGCATTTAAATGCTGCAAAGATTTCTCAAGCACTTGAACAAGAAATATGATCAGTGATATGCCTTTACCAAGCCTTGAATGATCATAAGATAACAAGAATAAAAAAATAAAAAAGGATGATTCAAGAAGAGTGCTAGGAAAGAGCAACGGTTCCTGAGGCCTGTGCTCTTATATTCACCAACTGTCACCGCCAACCACAACTAGAGAGGCCTGCCATGTTTCTAAATTACTGTGATTCATCTTCTTTAGAATGCCAAAGGACATGGGAATGAATTATCAATTTCATTCCCCAGTAGTTATAATATAAATTTTCATAACACCCAATATCAAACCTAATTCACATGATCGTACTCCTAAAAATAAACTCCCTAAACTATTAGATATCGAGTATAACTGAAACCATTGTTAGCACATACCAAAAGATATTATGTGCTGCATCATAGGTTTCAGTGACATAAAGAGCATCATGCATTGCATGTGAGGGCATGCATTCCTGAGGCAAACATGAACGATTGTAAGGTACGACAGTTGGAGTGCAACCCAATGACCCATATTTGTGTGAACTAGCAGTTTGTTTAAGAGGTTGTTTTGAGGTAAAATTATTGAAAATTAGAAAATATAGCACATAATTAACTTCTAAGTGAATTGTATGACGCAAAACTAATGCAAGTAAAATCTTACCACATTCTAAATACGTCAAATAACTATATGATTCCTTGTAAAATAGACGTGAGCAAATCCACGGCATCTATATTACTGTTCAGCACATCACCTGCCTCCCAACCTGTCGGCGCTTAAAAGGGGAAAAAGTTAATGTTTGGGGGTCGCCCGTAAGAAGCTGTCGGCTGCCGGAATCGAAATCCCGTCACCCGCTTTGGAAGGACTTTTGAATTTACGTATATATATATAATTTTAGAAAAATATGAAATCAAACTGACCTCATATTTTTCACAGTTTAAATGAAAGAGCACTCTATCTCAAATCCGGTATCTATCCCGAGGGATAAACACAAGACTTGAGGATGAGACTCGATCAAATAAACTAAGAAAGATATGACGTCCGTTTGGTCTGCGAAACTGTTTTATTTGCCGACAAGTTCCCCTATTTAATACAGAAGAATTAAATAGGGTTTATTTTAAGCTGGGTTCGGAAAAATTCTCTATAAGGGCAAGCCCCTATAGTTAATTACATCTTAAATGACCGAAGTCACCTAAGAAAACTCTCGATAAAAATCAGGGAATAATGTCTTCAAAGAGGTCAAAAGGATAGGACTTTTCAACGAAATCGGACGAAGATGTGTGAAAGGGGAAAGGCTATAATCTGGAACATTGTTGAGGAATCCAAATGAAGAGAAACTAGGGGAGGTCACAGATCCTGAGGAGAACCTCAGTGACTTCCCAGTCTATCCTATGGTTTGGCTCCAATTTTAGGAAGAAAATATTAAAGTGTTTTATCCTGCCAATTTTATTTAATTAGGGCTTATATTTGCGTGACAAGGTCCCTCAAATTGCCTAGAAGATATGAGGGTTTACGTCGTATCGGACGACAACCTCAGAACCTAAAACGAGTTTAGGGCTTAAATCGTACGGCAGAACTATACGAATGCCTAAAGAAAAGGGAGAGGATTTATGTTGCGCTAGGCAAACAACCTCGAAAACCTATGGATTGTTGTTTAATTTCTAGGAAAAGGAATGGTTTTGCTGGGGGAAGACATGTTCTGCTGTTGAAGATGGCCGTG